GGAGGGAATTGGTCCCTGAACAGCATTACCCCTCTGAGCCTTCATGAGTCTGTTTAATAATATATAGAAATCCCGGACTAGAAATCCTGGACGTTGTGTATTAAAGTAAAATTAAAAATGTTTTCTCGTGTTCACATTACTTTAATATTTTGTACTCACCTCCAAACTAGACGGGAGTCCATTAATGCTAAGTTGACCTTGGTGGTTGAAGGTTTAAGTGGTTCTCCCTTATTTAAAGGTTTTTGCTCTAATTTAATTTTTATTAAGTGATTAAATTTTTATGTTATTATTATTATTTTTTCTTTATTTTTAGATTTGAGGGATTCTTCTCTATTTAGATATTTGTGTTTAGAATTGTTTTTCCTGAGGTGGTTGCTTTTTATGCTACTTTTTTATTTTCTGTTATTTTAAAGATTATAGTTGAATTAAGTTTGGTTGAACTGTGAGGTGTCAATATATCGTGGTTTCAAACTTTCAATCATTACCCAACTTACTTCCAATAAAAGACAAAGTTAAAATTTTTTAAATTGTTCAATTTAAATCAATGACCTAGATCAGAAAAAAGTAATAAATGATGTATTTTTATTTGTATGATTATTTTTTAATAATTTATCTTTGATAATGTTATATTTTTCATTTGTGATTAGTATTTAAATCCTTTTCTCTGTGCAACAAAAATTTCATTATACAACTTTAACATGTTGAGTTGGTTGCTAGCATGCTTTATATTTGGGATAGTGTGACTTGTTTTTTGTAATTTAAGGTGTGAATTTGTTAAGTTTATTTAGCATGCATTGTGGTTTTATGAACATAGAATCTTTTAGTTGGGTATGTAAAATCATTGTTTTACAAGAATAGTGACTAGAATTTATATAAAAATACATATTTTTATTAAAAAGATTCTTATGACTTATTTCTTACAAATGGCTGTGCAGGTAAATTTGCTCTTTCTGTTTTCGTTTTTACAAATGGCTATGCAGGTAAATGGCTATATTCTAAATGAATGGTTACTTTAATTATTTATTTTTTAATTTAAATTATAAAATAAAAATTATTTAATAAAAAAGATATAACATATGTTTTCTTCAATAATTAAATAAAGACTTTATATTTAAATTTTAAATTAAATAAAAAAGATTTAAAAAATAAAAAATTATATATCTTAT